TTGTTAATTTTATTCGATGAACGTAAGTAATGAATGTACAAAGAATTCAAGGGATTGCGGACAGATGATTCTGTTGATTATTCGTATTAAAAGAAAGCCTGTATTATTTTCTGTCTTCTGAACATGGTATTAAATGGTATACATATTGTGTAAAGACACTAAGAGATTATAAATGCGTCTGGTGCATGAGTTGCACGTGCGGTTACATACGGACAAACAGATCTTCTCTCTCTTTCATCGTTAGTTATGCGTTCGCCGTCGCGCGAACATTTCGATTGTTTTAACATGGTTCTGAGTCGTAACAACACGCATCCATGACGGATTTATGTTTTCCGTACTTTTTTCTACATGGTATGCATAATCTGTATCATTGTTGTTAGGACGATTAGCGGTTTAGCTGCTAAGGTTACTAAGCTATTGTCCTTGTATGTATATTGCGTATTGTAAATACATACAATAAAGTTCTCTTTTTTTTACAGTTCTGGTTGCGTTCTCGTGATTTGATGGGAATAAGGTACGCAATAAATTATATTTATTCTCGAATATTTTAAGAACGTGAGGAATAATTGCAGTTTAAAACGAACAAGGAGTCAACCGAGGCAATTCTCTAAAGAAATATAACCTTAAACGTTTTCTTGAAGCATAATTATACCTTCCTTTGTGAATATATTCACAATTTCAGTTTATTTTCGTATTGAATACATTAAAACAATGTAAAAAGCAGTACGCATAGTTAAGGAAATATATTTATAATTATAATTTATTAGTTTGTGCTTATCTATTTAAATAAGAGATTCAATTGAAATAATGGAAGCACATGAGCAAACGAAAAAGCAGAATTTGACTGCAAGTAACAATTATTTTGATGAGAATGAAATTGAGTTTGAACGTGTAACTCAGTTATTTAATAAGCGTTTCACACTCGTGAATAATGAATTATATTCACTACCCAAATTAAATAGTATTTTCAAATATCCTTTATGGTCTGTCCCCGAATTACAAGAATTGAAGAAAGAATTGAATGGCGTTAAGAATTGTTTGAATAACTATGATCTAGATAAATGGCAATTACATACAAAACTAAGAAACAGTGCAAAAAATGTTATCCCACGTCTAAAAAGCAATATTCAACCAGAACTGTTAACTCAAGCATGGTGTAAATTCCATGAGATAGTTTCGTCCTTTCCTTTAATACCATTAGATTATATATGGAGAAACGATAACTACTTTAAATCTATTCACCTATGTGAAGCTCCTGGAGCTTTTGTTACATCTTTAAATCATTGGTTGCAAACAAATGTACCTGATATGCACTGGGATTGGACTGCTATGACATTAAATCCATATTATGAGGGTAATTCAGTATCTACTATGATTGATGATGATCGATTTATAAGACACACATTGGATTATTGGTATTTTGGAGAAGATAACACTGGAAATATCATGACGCTAAACAATTTCACTGGATTAATAAAACACTCTGTGCCACATAAAGATATATTTCTGGTTACTGCTGATGGCAGTGTTGACTGTGCGGATGTACCAGCAGAACAGGAAAGTGTTCTAACGCATTTGCACTTCTGTGAAACTTTAGCCGCACTACACTTATTAGCGGCTGGAGGCAGCTTTTTGTTGAAAATTTTTACTATGTTTGAGTGTAATACAATATGTTTACTTTATCTATTGGCTTGTTGTTTTACTAATGTTAGTATAACAAAGCCAGCAACAAGCAAAGAAGGAAACTCAGAAGTGTACGTTGTATGCACAAACTTTAAAAGACCAGTCAATATCACATCTTATTTAGAGAAGCTTAAAGAATATTACGAATGTGATCCTAAAACTGCAATCTTCAATGAGAGTGATATTCCACGTTACTTCATAGAAAAAATTATAAATTGTAGTAATTTTTTCAAAACTCATCAGTGTTCAGTTATACAAAATAACATTGATACATTTAACAATTATAATTATGACGCATTCCTAAGTATGAGGCAAATCCAACGTTCAGTTGCTGATAAATATATAAAAGATTACAAAATAAGAAAGTTGGGGAAGGACGAAGAGATTATTGGGAATGCAATCATGTCACTAAAACCTGCCAACTTTAATCCGTGTAAAGTATCAATGCAAGGATCTTATAATGAACGTTGTGAAAAACAACATTTGGCATATTTCGATCGAATGGAAAGCTTTTATAAAGATATTGAAAAAGTTGAAATATATCTTTCACATAATGACATTAAGAAAGTAAGCTATCTGTTTGAGAAATAATCTCAAATACTTAAGGCGCTCTCGCATAGAGCATAGGATCATGCGATCGAAGCCCGAATCAATAAACCAATCACGATGGGTCAAGTCAATGCGCACCACGCGCTACTAATATCGATTGCG